ATTATGCAGAATATGATATATCTACACTCGAATTTTTCTAGAAGATAAATTATTCAATCTGGGTAAAATGTACTTTCAATACATATTCACTTATTTTGCGTAAAACATCTACATATTTGCATACCCATAAAATTACATTTATAAAATACTTGACTTCAGTGGTCAATAGTAAAATTTAATGAGCAAGTTTTCGATGACATATTTCTCAACTCTTTATTTAATGAGTAGTTCCCTTAATATTTTGGAACTATGTTGTTATGTGCTGCATTTAAATCGACCCCCAATTGCTTGGGCTTGCCGTAGCTAAGCTTAGAGAACAGATGGATGCCAGGCAACGAGGAGGCAGATAAAGTGGCCACCGAAGCCGCAACTACTCGGGTAATAGTAGTAAAACCTTCCTAGGCATAATGCCAGACACCATCAAGAGAAAAGAAGACGGCCCAGATCTACATACTATGAGTAGTCCACTTGCAAAGTGCGCTATTTAAAATTTTTTCGATTTTTAGTTTTTGGTGGGTAAAACATACCAGTAGTTAAAGTAGTTTCATGTCCACTAACCTCCCAGTGCAAAATATTTCTATATTCTGAGAGAAGTACCTACTCACGTACAAAAACCTTGCTATAGACCGGCGGGGTTTTAACGTGGCGAGACCCAACCCCAGCGCACGCGAAGTTATACGCCTTCTCACTTAAGGCCGCTCCCAAACGGGTGTTTGATTGCTACCCAGAGAACCCGTGAATATAAATATCCGGACGCTGTGAGCTGCGATTTGAACCGTACGCACAACAAACCCTTCTGACCACTCCCACGTGAATGGCAGCCAAAAGCTTTTCACTTCTGCGCACGAAGCCATCCTTCACCTTAGAGCACTCTGAGAGAACTCTTCAACAAATCGACATACGCGACCAATGGAGCCACATTTACCGCTCATTAAGTACCGCCGCCGAAGAAACAGTCGGATTTCACCGAGCCCGAAAGAAACATTGACGAGACGGAGCTTCATCTGCCTCGGGAGACAAAAACCACAATACCCCAACTTCGCTCTAGCAAATAAACTCTCATTACGCTCATTAAACTCATACCAGAGCAGACTAAACGCGGATGTGCCAAATGAGTGTCCGGCGTGCGGAGAGACCCCTCACCGACTCGAAACATCTCTTCGCATGCACGGAAACCCCGACAACCCTAACGCCTTTGTCCCTGTGAACCGACCCAATTGAGGCTGCAAGCTTCTTAGGGCTGCCGTTAGTGGAACTTGACGACAACGACTGAGATATTAGCCGATCTGGGCAGGGTTGTTGTAGTCGCTACAACAACAACAACAACCGAGCCCGAAAGAACAATGGTACCATGAGGAGTGTCAAGAAGCTGCAGAGAAACAGGATGCCGCCTACAGGGCCACGCTGCGATCGGTCGCAACGCGAGCCATATGGGACCATTATAGGGAGCTGAAGAGGCAAGCGAGACATACATACTTGCCGCATTAAGAAGAGAGAGACCGAAATACGAGAGTGCGAAGAGCTTGAACTGCTGGCCGACAGGGAAAAGGGCGAACTCCTGTAAGAACAACAATGGCGACCTAGAGCCTGACGTCCAGAACGTACTTAAAATGTGGGGAGAACACTTTTCCACCCTATTGAAAGGCAGCACCACTGAAAGTAGTGGAGAGGACGAACCCGAGCCCCCAGTCGATGACGATGGAGTCGATGTCTAACCGCCTGACTATGACGAGGTACGAATAGCGACTACGCGGCTGAAAAACAACAAAGCTGCTGGAGCGGACGGCCTACCAGCTTTTATGCGGAATATGGTTAGATCAACGCATGCGGACGACTGGAATTTAATGTATTTTTTTTTCTTGATAGAAATTTTACCTTCGTATATGGCAATATTATCACAGTGCAACATTTTAAAGAAAGAGCACGCAATATGCATATAAAGATGGTGAGAAAAGAACACGATAACTTGACCGCCCTGGCGCAGGGCAGAATTAATGCATCATTATTTGGAGAAAAGAAAACGCTATAAGTGTGCTCTGCCCAATCCACAAGAAAGGCGGACCCGCCCAAGCCGTCAACTACCCCGGGATCAGCCTTCTATGCATAGGTCACAAGGTCTTATCGAGTGTATTGTGTGAAAGCCTGAAGCCCACCGTCAACGAACTGAGTGGAACCATATCACCGTGGCTTTAGACCTGGCAAATCTACCATAGATCAGGTATTCACAATCCGTCAAAACTTGTAAAAGACCCGCAAGTATAGGATCGACACGCACCATCTATTTGCCGATTTCAAAGCCGCTTTCGGCATCACGAAAAGAAGTTGTCATTATGCCGCGATGTCTGAATTTGGTATACCCGCGAAACTAATACGGCTGTGTAAAATGACGTTGAGCAATACCATCAGCTCCGTCAGAATTGGGAGCCGTTTGATACCAAACGAGGTGTCAGACAAGGTGACTCCCTTTCGTGTGATTTCTTTAATCGGATGCTGGAGAAGATCACAAGAGCCGCAGAACTGAACCGCTCAGACACAATACTTTACAAGAGCGTATAATTGCTGGCTTATGCCGACGACATCGATATTATCGGTAAAAACAAGGCTATGTCTGTTCTGCCTTCTCGGGATTAAATAGAGAAGCAAAGCGAATGGGTCTGGTGGTGAACGAGGACACGACGAAGTATCTCCTGTCATCACACAGTCAGAGCATTCGCGTCTTGGCACACACGTCACTGTTAACAGTTACAAGTTTGAAAAAGTAGACGACTTCGTTTCTCTGGGAACCAGAATTAACACCAGTAATAATGTCAGCCTTGAAGTCCAACGGAGAATCACTCTTGCCAACAAGTGCTACTTTGGACTGAGTAGGCAATGGAAAAGTAAAGTCGTCTCCCGACGTACGAAAACCACACTCTATAAGTCACTCATCATGCCTGTGCTGGTGTATAGCGCGGAGGCATTGACAATGAAAACGTCTGATGAAGCGACACTTGGAGTTTTCGAGAGAAAAATTCTGCGAAAGATTTACGAACCTTTATGCGTTGGCGATGGCGAATACCGCAGACGATTTAACGATGAGCTGTATGAGCCTTACAACGATTTAGACTTAGTGCAGCGAATTAAAATTCAGCGGCTCCGCTGGCTCGGCCATGTCGTTCGAATGGACACCGACGCTCCAGCTCTGAAAGTATTCAACTCGGAATCCGCTGGTGGTAGCAGAGGAAGAGGAAGGCCTCCTCTGCGTTGGAAAGACCAGGGGGAGAAGGACTTGGCTTCACTTGGCATTTCCAATTGGCGTCAGTTGGCACAGAAGAGAAATGACTGGCGTGCTGTTTGGGACTCGACCAAAATTGCTTAGGCGGCTACAGCGCCAATAAAGAAGAAGAAGACTAACTTTTTATTAACATCAAATATAATGACTTTAGAAAAAAGTCGTAAACAAAAAATTTAGATTTTTTTCGGACGACAAAAACGTTTACTTGAGTTTTTTCGAAAAAATTAACGCTATCGATGTAAACTGCGAAAAACGTTTAGAACCTTCTTTCCAAGATGGCGGCGATTCCACAACCGCCGAGACTCGCAAATCTATTTATTAACAGCTCTTTATTTCATATATGTATGTATTACAGCCTAGTTAGTACAAATTGTGAAAAAATAGCAGGGATTCTTAGTCCGCTGGCCAATCCTTTAAGAAATGCTTCAGATTGCGTTGTCGTATTTAGGACTAGGCAGGATGCTCTTTAAAATCTTCTACTACACTCGCGGTAGAAATCATTAGAGGGGAAACCTTTACGTCTCCGCGTATTTCCATTGAACAATGTCCATGGATGAAACCAACCTCTGAGCTAACGGACAGACGATCAGGAAGAGCTAGAGACTCAGATCTGTTTACATTAATTCGTGACACACCGTTGGTTATCTTTTCCAATAAAAACAGATCTGAGCCATGAATATGTACTTAGTTCGATTGGAGATGGTTTGCTTGACGGTAGTTGGGCCAGAATTGAACGACTACAGATTAGTTCCCTTCCGTGTAAATGCTTTTTCCAGGAATATTTCTTTTCCCGTTAGTCGACTACATTACTTACGCATGGCGTGGCCAAATCGCTTAGAACCATTCGTCCTTGAATTGATTTCTTCGAATAGGTATGGTTGCACTGTAGATATTAAATCGAAGCCTTCAGAGCATACGTTGATGGAATATTTTATTACAGGACAGCAGCCTTAGAAGTAGTTATTCCGAATGGATGTTGTTGCCGACTTTATTATTTAGCTCAGAATCATCGCTGAAGATTGAAATGGGACTAGTGTCTAGCCTTTTTCCACTTCACCATTCGCTCATAACGGGAATTCTTGACGAAAACTTGTTATAAAAGTAGGCAGGTGAAATGCTTGATTGCCTAGTGTTATTTACGGTAGACTAGAGTGTGTCGAGCTTTGCAGTTTGAAAGGAAAGGCCACCGTGATAAGCACCCTTTCCGTTTTGCTTTTGGACGTACATCAACATACTGTAACTCCGAAGATAAGAACGGCCATTACGTCAACTGTGACAGCTGATGCATTATATGTGGATACAAGGCCCATCTTTTGTCTGTAGCCTTTTTTTTTAATATAACGCTTTCGCTGAAGCTCGTAAAATATCAAAATATTCATGATGAAATGAATGATATGAGCACGAGTTGTTATTTAGACTTTTTTAATGTATCTTTTTAAGTTCACATTTAAATACAATTTTGCTATGGAATCTTGTTCTTTATGCAAAACTGAAGATAATGCATTGTCTAAGATAAGTGTGCCATCATTTTCGACCAAAAACACGGAACAGTCGCAAAAAAACGACATTGTAGTGATGTGGCCAGAAGCACCGCAATCTCAGCCAGTCCTCGGTTTTATTAGGGAATTTTGGCTACACAATTTTTTGTTGTGAACTACAAGGACATTGGTTTAATGCATATCTTCTTCTAATTTCGTATTATTCATTACCAACACAGACATTAATTAATAAAATATTATTTAATTTTAATTTATTTCCATTTAAAACTATTACGGCCACTTGTTTTGTACTTAGTACGAGTACATACACACATACGTACATATATGTAAATAATAAAAAAGATACAAAAAAAGACTCAGCTTCTCTTAAGGCTAGCATCGTATGCCTTCCTGTAGAAGTCATAGAAACCATAGAATATGACAATGACCACAAAAGCATAGTAGCCCACCACCATCGGCGCTATTACACAGCTGGAAGACATAACAGCCGCCTGCAGTAGAATTAACACGAATTGTATCATTTGAATGGTGGTAATCGATTTCTTGACTGGTGTTAAACGTTTCAATGTCTCCGCATCGCACACAGCCGCCGCCAGATAGTAGGCGTACATAATCACATGCACAGCGCAGTTGAGCATCAGTGGATACAAGGCAGAACCCCCTATAAATAGGCATTTAGAATCAGCATCAATGAATGAGTAAGTTAGCCAAGGCAAATTTCCAATTTTCCAATTACCTCTATAATTGACGAGCAGAAGGTAAACCAACGTTATGGTTGAGCAGTGATGAAATACGTGGAGGTAGGACACCTGATTCTGCTTCTTACGCAAGGCGAATACAATTGTTTCCGAGAGTTCGCTAATCTTTAACCAGAATGTGAAATATGTGACGCGATTGAACAGATACTCAGCGAGTGTATTTGATTCGAACATAGAACACTCCCAGAATCGAAATATTTTCGTCGATGTTATGCGGAAAATCTGCAAAGCATATTAAGAAACAATATGATGTAGTGCGTTCGATATGCCATGGAGTAGAAATAATAACTAAATATTGTAATCGAATTTCGATATTTATGTATTATGAGTATGTCCATTTATGTAAAAACCGCTGAGTCTGTACATATGTATGTATCAATAAGATTCCGCAGTTTTCAAATAAAGTGTAGAAAAAAAAATACATTTCTGAAACACTATCATAAATAGTAAGTGTTCGAAATCAATGGGAACAATTAAATCCGCATATATTTTTGTGATACCTCATTGATAACTGATGTGTGAAGAATTACCTCATTGATAATGTAGATGCAGGCCAGCATTTGGGCCGAGTTGTAGGCCACAATGTACGTTTTTAGTTGGTAGGGCGGTCGATTTTTCATGTAACTGTAAATGTATGCATACATAAATTTTAATAAGAAATTTGAAGAAAATTAATCGGAAGCAAAAATCAACTACTACTACGTATAGAATATTAAAGCAGTTCATAGTCTAAATAGGTTTTGTTTTAAATTCTCCAAAGCTTTCTTGGTCAGCCATATGTTTTTAAATGTACATTTGTACATATGTGTTCGTACTTGCACGCATTCATTTTAATTTTAAATATTCGCGCTCTATTTTCAATCAAATGCTAATTAATTAAATGGCAAATTGAGTACAAAAGCTTTGTAGTGTTGCGCTTTTCTGGGCCCCGATAGGTGCCGAACTCGCCTGGGTTTTGGCTTATGCATACTAAGTATTTATGCATATATGTATATTAGACTGCATCACCAAAAAAAGTTGCGGTTTTTCCGCCGGCATTACAAAACTTATTATATTTTAAGACGTCCACCAAAATATTTCGGAAAAATATTAAGATTTAAGTGAGCTGGACCGATTTGAAAATACCTCCAAAAATTTAGTTTTTTATGAATAAAAATAGTTTCTTAAAGATGTTTTTTGATGAAAACCCCTCAAACGACAAAACATCTGCCGTTTGTAGATATCTGGGGCATGTGCTGAAACGTTAGATAAGCGAATCCCTTTTAAAAAAGAATGATGATTGGAGTGGAGTTTTTGTCTTTGGCTTGGTGCCGATGTGAGGATTCGCCTGAAATGACTACAAAAGCAGAACTTCAATCAATCAAGAGAGTTATGCTCTCAGTGTAGTGGGTTTGGAAGGTTGTGTGGCAAGGAATCAATACGAATGAGTAACGTCGATCATTGATTGATCTGTGATTTTTATATATATCTTTTTTTTGCTTTTTGAAATGCAAGCGGCTCTTTTTTTTGATTCAAGCTTTTTTAGTGACACTTACTTTGGTACGATTATATAAATAAGCAGCAGATAAGTGGCTATCACTCCAAATATGAAATTGGGCGACCGCAAACCGAACCACTCGTTGAGCTCTTGGGCTGGAAATAATAAATGAAGAAAAATAAAAATGTTTTACTTATACATACATACACGCATAATTTGTTTATTAGAAAAATTAAAAAGAGTGGTTACAAAGCTGGTCAAAACACAAAGTGTATACGTCTATTTAACTCGAAGGCAAACATCCGTATATATATTCGGATATCCGGTTGAAATCCATTCATTTGGTTATTGGAATATTCTAAAGAGCGTTTGAACGGATTGGAAATTTGTTATCAAAATTGTTGAATCTATCAAGTTGCAAACTAAATAATAGAACTCTTAATTAATATTCAAACAATTGTTATGTTAAGATTCGGAAATCCGTATATCCGGTTAGTATCCGTACAATTTGATATCCGGACGTCCGGTTAATATCCGTTCATTCCGTTATCTGCATTAAGCGGATATTCTACAAATCCAGACTGCACAACTTTCACTCGCGTCAACAAATAAAAGTGCCAAAGTCTCAATTTTTCATAATGTTTCCAAATATTATTTTCCAAGTACCATACTTAGTACTGGACGTATGTGCGATATGCATATGGACTGACGCATCTCGGCTACCACATACCACATTTCAATTCTAGTTCATAGACATATTGAATATTTGTTTTCAGAGGTCATTTGAATACTAACAGGTGTAGCTATAGTCCACTTCGTCCATTTTCTGAATCACTTCCATTTTACTTAAGACCCCGCTGTAATTTTGCCACACTAGCACACACACACACAAAATACTGTTTTGAAGACGATTCCTCCCTATCCTTGTGGCTTCGAACTCTCTTCTAGTTTTGCTCCTTTAAGATGCGCTCGCAGCGACACGGCCCGCCGAACTGCTAACACCAAATGGGAAATTATTGAATTGAAGCAAGTTCAAGAACTCGACATTCTAGCGTTTATTGGGGCGTAGAAAGCTTGTGCTGACTTTTTAATGGTAATGACAACAAAAACTAAAAAGAAAAATAGGAAAAAGAATTCAGAAAATTTAATACATACATATTCACCAGTTGACAGGCAAATCGATAAATATGCAAGTATTTCGTAAGTTGGCGGCTTTTGATCGCCGCCACTTCCCTATTTTAATGCGATGTTGAACTTTACCCATTTTTAGTATTGCATTTTTAATTTGTGAATTTAGAGTGGCGCGCGCACACACACATACATATGTACGTACATGCATACGTAGTAGACGCTAAGCCACCACAGCCACAACACAGCGACAAGTGCGCTTCCGATTAGCGTCAAATTTTTCAGCACCTAAGGACTGTTGGGGGGGTTGGGGGAAAATAATTTGCTTGCAACTCGAATTGATAGCCGAGTGGACACGAGACCGAGCGTGTAAAGTTTTATGTAATTTTCAGTGTTGCCGTTTTAGCCCTTTGGTGGCTAGATTTAGCTTTTTGGCCACATAAATTTAAAATTGCCCCTAGCCCTTTTTTTAGCCCTTTGGAAAATTTATTCATCCATGGCATGAAAAAGTTGTGCTTAATTTGATCTATTTTTTATTTTTTAAGTAAGAGAAGAATTTTTAAACTGACACATACTGATATATGTATGTATATATACATATATGTATTGTATGTTCCTTACGTTTTTATACATACATACTATAAAAGTGTTAGGGCCGTTAACTTATCTATTAAGGATTTAACTATAGTTTAAAATACATATATAAGTTTACGGCCCTTAAATGCTGGTGTCGTGAATGGTGAAATTAGCTAATTTTTCTTAGTAAAAAGTATTGTGTCGGAAATTTCTTGCACTATATGAGTCAAAGCCGTGTTTGTGGAAGATTAAAGTTCACGATATTGCAGTTGTGAATAAAAATCATTCCTGGACCTTATTTGTAAAGAAATATATATTGTACCACAACGACTTTTTTTAGCTCTTTTTTAGGCCTTGTTTAAAAGGGAATTTGGCTACCACTAAAAATGATTCGCGGCAACACTGGCAATTTTTAAGATATTCAGTTGCGTAGATAGGGTGGATAGATTCCACCTTCTAATCCCCGCCCGTAGAAGTTGATTAATTATGCAATTGGGTAAGTCTGGAAACCACGGACTTCTTTCGTTCCGAAGGCGGTGACATATTTACTTGTAATATCGAAATACGAGTATGTACATATGTATGAGCATTTCCACAGAATGGTCAACCAGGACCAAGAACTAAAATGAGCAGTCAGTTATAGTGGTCCGTTTATTTAATACATTATAAATACATAAAATAAAGAAAAAAAACTTTTAAATATACCACGCTTTTATAAATGGACTAAAAATTGTAATATAATATATCTCAGTCCCATAGAATTTGTTTCGATAACTTTATATTTTGAAATTCCAGCAAAAGTAAACAATTTATGAGATTGAAAACGAAACGTCAAGATCAAGATCAAGATCAAAATCAAGATCAAAATCAAGATCAAGATCAAAATCAAGGTCAAGATCAAAATCAAGATCAAGATCAAGATGAACATGAAAACGAAGATGAAGATCAAGATCAAGATCAAGATGAAGATGAAGATGAAGATGAAGATGAAGATGAAGATGGAGATGAAGATGAAGATGAAGATGAAGATGAAGATGAAGATGAAGATGAAGATAAAGATAAAGATAAAGATAAAGATAAAGATAAAGATAAAGATGAAGATGAAGATGAAGATGAAAATGAAAATGAAAATGAAAATGAAAATGAAGATAAAGTTAAAGATCAAGATCAAGATGAAGAAGGAGATGAATGATAAAGATGAAGATAAAGATAAGTAGACTGTTATGATCGGCCTATAATTCTCACAGAAGATTTCAACGGCAACTTTTCGCTGGCCAAATCTGATGAACTGGCAAAATGTTTTAAAGAAAAATTTTCACTGGAAATGGTTAATGGTAGAAATGATCCAACAACCAAAGGAGCCGCTACCATTGATGCGTTTTTTTCCAGAAATATTAATAATATTGAAATAAACATTTCATATTTATCTTACTTTAGTTACCAAAATCTACTAGTTAATATTGTAGATATGGATGTTTTCTCAGGCACAAATAATAACTAAACTTTGCAGTTAATTTTTAATGTTTAACGTTAATTAGTTTTGAGTTTATGAAGGATTTTCTTTAGTAAAATTATGTCGTAAGCGTCATTTGTCCACAATTTAGCAGCCACTTTGTATGAAATACGACAAAATGTGATCAAAATGTCTACTAAATTTACGACACTTTTTAAACAATATCTCGGAAACTAAAGGAGATATCCAAAAATTGAGAACGTCATTTTTAAGATATTGATTAGTTTAATATGGCTGCATCACTAACTAAATTTTTACTAAATTATCAAAAAAATTGTAGTCAATATTTCGGAAACTAAAGGAGATATCTAAAAACTGATAACACCAATCAAAAGACCTTATTTCAAGATATAAACTGTATCTAGAACTAAAAGTCGTCAAAATGGCGCTTACGTCAATCTTTTACACAGGCGACGATATGTACATACATACATATAGCAGCAAATAATTTCATTTAAAGAAATGGCGTATCGTCCATTTCCGCTGTAGTGTATGTAGTGCATATTTTTAGGCGCAATATTTAACTTCTTCTGGCAGGGCGGCATCTACCTCTAAAGATTTTCCAATTGTATGTCTTTGAAATTGTGTATTTGTTGTTGCAACCTGTTCAATTTGAGTCGTTTTCGCACTTTATTTTACTTCGTATTTGAAATTAAACTTTGAAGATAAATGTGGTGATGAAGAAGTACATGATAAAAACCGTTAAGACAAAAAAGTGAAGGCAAAGTTGAAGATAAAGGCGAAAATGTAAACAATGGGATATCCATAAGAATTAGGGTAACTGAAAGGGTAAGAATTTTTCGAAAATTTTCGTTATCGAAAGTTATCAAGTTATCGAAATTTATGTAATAATCGAAGTTTATAGTTATCGAAATTTATCGAGTTATCCATTCTTATTAAATTATCGCAAAGCATCGAATTAATCAAATTGTCGAAACTTACGGATGGTTGTGGGGCTATAAAAATTTATGGGACTATCGAAATTTCTCATATATATATGTATATATATATTTCATGATGCAATGATCGGATCTAAACCAGATTAGTACCTCCGAGGCACTACCTTTCCGATGCAAAAAGAATTATCGAAATCGGTTGACGTGGTCCAAATTTATGCGGTAACATACATAAAAAAACAAAAAAAAAAAATATTCCGACGAACTGATAACCTTTTCTGGAAGTCGGGTAAAAAGCTAAAGCACAAACTCAATCTGTTTGATGTTTTTGAGATGCATGTTGGCATACGTTGTTGATGTAAGTCCGAAAGTACGTAGATATGGCACCGCAGGAAGAGGTAGGTAGGCCAGAGATGCTCAACAAACTATATGAATCGATTTCGTTTTGTTGGTGCGCAAAAATAACGTATCAAAATAATTTCGTTTCCTATCAGAGCTGAAACAAAACTCAATCGTTAACGTTGAAACGAAATAAATCAACTATTAACACCTAGCACCTAAATGCATGCTACAGTTTCAGCATTAACGATTGAATTTATTTTTGTTAAAAACCAAAATATAGTTATTTTGATAATTACCTAAGCGATAAAAAAAACTGAATCGTTTCAACAGGTGGAGGCTGTCAAATCGTTAATAGAGGTGCCAAATGGAAATAAATAAAAATCTATTTTTGAATCGATTTGAATCGAAATAAAAATAATCGATGCTGGAAGAAATCTGCAAAAAATAAACCGTACATATGTACATTTTTCGTAACGATTTCAATATCCAG